ATTCCACATTATTACAAATAACTTCATTTCTGGACATTTATGGTTTGATTTCTTTGTATGTATGGATCACTTGGGTTGTTACCAACATCTGGTGAAAATTGCATGTCATTAGCACCTCTAGTAATATATTTACTGAGAAAAATGTTGGTGCATTCAATACTTATTTTACCCGCTGTATGTCAGTGTGAAGATATTCCAGCTGTGTTTTGGATTTTCTGCAGTTGGTGTAATAAAGTCTGCAGTTTCAAAAGCTAACTACAGAAAAAAAAGGTTTGATAACATCCAACATGTTTCCTAAACACAAACTCACCAAACTCCACTCATAAAAGCGTTCTACCAGAACAAAAGATTCATTTTGTTTGACTTGGGTGTTTCAGCTCATGACATCTGATCCTATATACTTTTTTGCAAACAGCCGAGGCAGCAGATTAGCATCTCCTTTGTTCTGGGAGAAGAAAAGACAATAATTCTTCAGAAATCTGATAAAACGTCTAAAACTAATCTGATGCCAACACACCTTAGAGCCAGAGTGTATGTGCCCGGCTGTCTCAGACTTTCTCTGATGAGGTAGCTGCCTTCGGCCTGACTCAGTAACTGGTCGGCCTCTTCCCTCGAGATCTTTCCATGGAACCTGAAAAAAACAACATAATTTGATTTAATGAAGTAAAATCCAAATATAATAACAAAGCATGCCTTGTCTAAATCATAAAGGCAACTTACTCTCTCCCATAGTATTTGGGTCTGTTTTCCACCTGCAAAAGAACACAAAAAAATCATCCCAGTTGGGACTTTAATAAACTTACGATAAACGTAATTACATGTAAAGCATCACAAATCAAAAACCATCAAAAGAAACACCATGTTGTGTGAATTTCAGGGATTTGAATGGGATCCTAACGGCCACAGTGTTTTTGTGGGTGTGCAGAATATTGCAAGAGTCAGACATAAAAGCTGAGCATCGTGTTGCGCTCAACAAAACTGCTGTTGAGCCAATAAATCAGCGCGAACCCCRACGGGCAGCAACAAATATCAATTTGAAAGATGGAAATGTAAGAATGTGAAATGAGGAATCTGAGCTCCAAGAAAGATGAGCCAGGTGCTTTACCAGCAAAGTGGAGGCGAAGCGACAGATTATTTCCAGAATCTTTCTGTCAATATTAATCTGGAATAAACTATTAGTTAGGCTTTTAGAGATAATTTAGAATTTTCTTCTTAGATTTAGAAAAACACTCCCTCATTCATTAATCGGGGGCAGCAGCTTCAGAAGGGAGGCCCAGACCTCCCTCTCCCCAGCCACTTCTTCCAGCTCCTCCGGGGGAACTCCAAGGCGTTCCCAGGCCAGCCGAGAGACATAGTCCCTCCAGCGTGTCCTGGGTCTTCCTCGGGGCCTCCTCCCAGTGGGACGTGCCCGGAACACCTCACCAGGGAGGAGTCCAGGAGGCATCCTAACCAGATGCCCGAGCCACCTCAACTGGCTCCTCTCGACGTGGAGGAGCAGCGGCTCTACTCTGAGTCCCTCCCGGATGACCGAGCTTCTCACCCTATCTCTAAGGGAGAGCCCAGCCACCCTGCGGAGGAAACTCATTTCGGCCGCTTGTATCCGGGACCTCGTTCTTTCGGTCATGACCCAAAGCTCATGACCATAGATGAGGGTAGGAACGTAGATCGACCGGTAAATCYAGAGCTTCGCTTTCTGACTCAGCTCTCTCTTCACCACGACGGACCGGTACAGCGCCCGCTTTACAGCAGACYCTGCGCCAATCCGCCTGTCGATCTCCCGCTCRGTTCTTCCCRCATTCGTGAACAAGATCCCCAGATACTTAAACTCCTCCACTTGAGACAGGGCGACCCCGCTGACCCGGAGAAGGCACTCTGCCCTTTTCCGGCTCAAGACCATGACCTCGGATTTGGAGGCACCGAGCCTCATCCCGGCTGCTTCGCACTCGGCCGCGAACCGCTCCAGCGAGAGCTGCAGATCACGTTCCGATGAAGCCAACAGGACCACATCATCCGTAAAAAGCAGAGATGCAATCCTAAGGCCACCAAAATGGATCCCCTCAACAGCTCGGTTGCGCCTAGAAATTCTGTCCATGAAAGTAATGAACAGAATCGGTGACAAAGGGCAGCCTTTACAATGTTACACTCATTGCAAATCATACTATTAAATCAGAAACATCAACACCCCAGACATATTTTTAGATGCTTTTAGTTTTAAATGTAAAGATTTAAAACACCAGAATGATACTCATGTGCATGTGTTTTAGTAAAAACATTCATGTAGCCTGGATCAGTTCTTGTTCAGATTCTCTGTCCCATCAGGTTGCAGAGGAAACAGGTCCTCTCCCCAGTGGGACATGTCCACAAACACTCCAAGAGAGGCATCCAGATCAATGCTAATCAAAAGCCCGAACCACCTCAGCTGGTCTAAAACGAAGTGTTTCATTTTCATTGTCTAACCCATGTATTTTCCTCTTTTATAAAACACAGATTAAAAACTCAAAAAAATCTTTCATCCATAGCATTTATGTGAAACGTTTTGGCACCATTGCAGATTTACCTAACTGTAAGTCATGTTTTCTTTACCACACTATTTATGCTTTTAGTTTCACGATGGCCATAACACAACATTATCTCTCATGATCCATTATGGTTTCATTTTAGTTAATGACTTAGCTCATAAACGTTGTTCCAAGTTCAGACAGTGCAACAAAAAGCCAACAGTTCAGTGATTTGACCCACAACTCCCACCGATTTTACAATTAAGACAAAATGAGACGACAAACATGGACTTGGTTAAACATTAGGGTTTTAAAAAGAATTATAAAATGTAGTTATTTTTATAATATTTGCTACTTGATAACACAATTATCACTAGAAGAGGGGAGAGAGAGAGACAGGTTACGCATACAGAAAGAAAATAGCTCTAATACTCATGTGATCAAGGCCCAAAGCCAAATGCAGCTCATGGGTGAATTCCATCTGGTCAGACAAAAAAAAATTTTTTGGTACTTAATTTAAATTGATCAATAATGCTTGTCCTGCCCCTGAGCTGGTGGCTTTGAGTAAATGTGGCCCCTGAGCAWTTTAGTTGAACGGCCCRGTATTGTCTCAAAATAAACTGCTTTAAAGCCAGCATTGACCATAATCTACATCTCCCATGATGCATGCTGATTATACTTGGGAATTCCCTGTAGGAAAGTAGGAGAGTTCAGAATTCAAGATTCACCACAACACAACAGTGACTAAAACTCACTTACTTTTACTTTTAATAATATTTCTGTACTATTTATTTCACATTCAGTCAGTCGTACACGTAGTACCTTTCAATGTTTATAAAAGAATGTGTTAAACAGTGTTTCTATACTGAAAATACCACGTAGAGCTCAGTTATTTTTTGTTAGTGGTGCTCGGTTGTATCAGCCATAGCAATGAGACGATTTCTGTTTAGTCCAAGTTAAACAGGAAACGTTGAAGTCAATTACAACTTGTACTTTCAGGGCCACACTAACGCTCATGTGGCCCTCTGTGAAAATGAATTTGACACCCCTGCTGTTACAGAAGGATCATACTATTAAATCAGAAACATTTTTGATTAAAACTTATTTAGCAACCAAAAACATCATTACTCCACACAGCAAAAAATAAAATCCTGAGTGTTCCAATGTCTTGCGTTGACTGATGAACACAGCTGAAATGTTCACATTAATACAATTGACTATTTCCATTATTACTGACCCATAAAGTTAAAAAAATACAGCAGTGTTATTAGAATGAAATGCGTGATGAAATGTGTAGATAAAGGGAAAACAATACAATACTTCAGAGTCTCCTCAGTCTGAACAATAAGTAATAATTGATAATTGATAATAATTTCAATAATTTGAGCTCTAAGAACTTCAGAATTAATCCTCTCTGCATTATTGTAGATCTTTTTGGTTTTTAAAGTTATTTTAATTTATTTAAAGTATCTGGACTATCTATATGTTGCAAATAATACAGACAGATGAAACCTGTCCACACTAGGAAAAACTAGACCCATGTTTATTAAGTCCCATATGGCTGAACACCTATTAAACAACATGGAGGTGCTGGTTGAAGGTGTGTGTGTTGGTGTGTGAGTGTTGGGGAGGGGGGACAGTCTGCTGACCCGTCTGCTCATTTTAACTGGGTCAGATTAAACCATCCCACCACCAGGACCAGATCTGAGTCAACATCTGCTCATTTTACACCACAACCCACACCCAAAGAGGGCCGTCTTTACAGAAAAACACCAGACGCCCCCTACTGCTCCAAACATCTTTAACCCCCTTTGAGTTCTGCCAAGCTGTGCTGCTCCATCTTCACACACACCTGGAGTGTGCATCTTGTGCAGACAGATGTGCAGGACTTAGTGAGGTTAGTGTTTCAAGCTTTTAAGAGAAATCTTTCAAGCCAGAATTAAGAAACGAATTCACTCAAAGACTCATATAAAAACTCCATTCTTCCTTTCTAATTGAAGGAGGATCAATTAGTCCATGAGGATAAGGGATCCCCGATTAATTGTAACATTAGACTTTATTTGATAAACATATATTTTAATTGTAAAATAAAGACTGTAAAAATACTGTAGGCTGTTTAGTTTGGAAAAAATTTTTAAATATATTTTAACATGGACGGAGACATTTTACTTACACACAAAGCATTCTGGGTAAATGATGACGTGGATAGGTCCTCGGTGTGAGCGAGCTATATCCACCCTGAAGGTTAATCTTG